AATTTACAGACCAATTGCAGCTGGAATCTCAACTTCACCTCCTTTCAAAACATAAATGCCTTGTTGTAAGACTCCTTTCATGATCACTACAGACTTTTCCATTACATTTAACACTCCACCTTGAGCTTTGTACATACACCCAGCTTTGTCAAGTGCTCCAAGTGAGATTCGATATCATTTTAGTCCTGGCACATGCCTTACTCCACCTAGAACTCTTGAAGATCCATCCCACATTTTTAGCTTGATAGAACCAATACTAATCACTTCACATGTGTTGTCATTTGCCAATAGCACTTTGCTATCATCAACCGGTTTGTAATCAATGAAAAGTTCATTTCTTGGTGTGATATGAAATGGACAACTTGAGTCCATTATCCAAACCTTGTTGTGGCTTACTCTTGTTGTAGCAAGGACTTCAACCTCTTCACAATCTCTAAATGCATTAGCACAATCTCCATCTTTTAATTAAAACTCTTAACAATGATAAAAGGGTGAGTATGTTTCATTGCGACCCTTCTTGTCTACTCATGGTATCACCCATTCTCCACATCCATATATCTCATTAATCGAATGTGCACCCCAAAAATGTCCATGCATTCTCTTTTTGAAAAGCTCTTTGGAAACTCCCAAATTTTCTAAACTTCGAATATTCGGTTGTCTATGCTATCCCTAACTTTATCCCAATGTTGACAACATCGCCTCCCGGATGCCTTCATCGCGGCCTCATGCTCGAAGTTAAAATCCAGACCTAAATCCTATAAACGGAACTTTTTATCCCACTTCTGCCGCCATGGCACCCGCCGTAGAGAACGGACTAGCGTATTAGAAAACCAGTCTCTTTAAAACTTATGAAATCTTCATATCATTCTCTATAGATTTTGGATTTTTATTTAGAATCAAAATAGCTTAGTGTCTGTTGGGGCTAAGGACTTCCTTTAAGTCAGAATTTCAACGAGCATGTTTGCACCAGTAGAATTGGTGTGAAGAAGAAAAACAGATACAAGAAACAAACCAGCAAAATAGAGTTGAAAAACCAGCAGAAAAGAAAATGAAGAACATATTTTTAACAGGAAGAATGTCTTACTCGGCCTTGATTTATCCACAAGACATTACATGGTTTACAATCTGAAATCATCAGAAAGAATTTCTACATATTTACAAGAGTTTACTACTCTATCTCATCTCACTTTCTCTATTTTCGAGTTGCCTCTTTTACCACTCCTAATGCAAGTATTTATAGACACAAAGATGTATAAAAAATGGTTATTAACTACCTAACTAAATAAGGCCCCATATAGTTGAAGATTCCAACCGAAATCAGTTACAAAAACAATTGGAATAAAGGCTCCAGTTCAATAGATTTCTGATTGATCTAGGTTACTGAATTCTACCTTAAAGAATCATGTTTTACAATTTCCACCTTGATTTTTGAGGAGAATTTACAGACCAATTGCAGCTGGAATCTTAACTTCACCTCCTTTCAAGACATAAATGCCTTGTTGTAGGACTCCTTCCATGATCATCACAGACTTTTCCATTACATTTAAGGAGACCTTGAGCTTTGTACACACAACCAGCTTTGTCAAGTGCTCCAAGTGAAATTAGATTTCTTTTCAATCCTGGCACATGCCTTACTCCACCTAGAACTCTTGATCAGTCCTGGTACATGCGTTACTCCACCTAGAAGTCTTGAAGATCCATCCATAATTTTCAGCTTGATAGAACTAATACAAATCAATTCACATGTGTTGTCATTTGCCAATAGCACTTTGCTATCATCAACCAATTTGTAATCAATGAAAATTTCATTTCTTGGTGTCATATGAAATGGACAACCTGAGTCCATTATCCAGACCTTACTGTGGCTTGCTCTTGTTATAGCAAGGACTTCAACCTCTTCACAATCTCCAAACGCATTTGCACAGTCTCCATCTTGCTTGTTGTTTCCTTGCTTCATTCATGTCTTGTTTCTTTGTGGACAATGCTTTCTGAAGTGTCCTTGATGACAAATCCATCATACTCTCTTTTCTTTCCTTCCTTGCACACTCAACACTTCTCCAGTCATCTTACCATTCGATTTCAGCTCCAATTCCTTTCAGTAGGCTGCTGTAGCAACTTCCTTTAGGGTCTAGGACTCCTTGCTATACTTGATGGTGTCTCTTAGATGATCATAAGCTGGTGGCAATGAATTTAATAAGAAAATGGCTTGATCTTCTTCCTCAATCTTGATTTCAAGATTTTCCAAATTTGAAACCAGCTTTGTAAACTCATCAATGTTGTCATAAACTGACTTTGATTCATCCATTTTGAAGCTATAGAACTTATGTTTCAAATAGATTCGGTTTGGCAAAGCTTTAGTCAAGTAAAGCTCCTCTAGTTTACTCCACATTTCAAAGGTTGTATTCTCCTTTATAACCTTTCTTAAAACCGTATCAGAGAGGCTAAAGGTGATGGTATTTCTTGCCTTCTTCAAGGTGTCAGCCTTGGTTAAAGCATTAGTTTCAGATGGCTTTGTCAAAGCTTCTTCCAACCTAAGATTGCCAAGGTGTGCCATCATCTTTTCCCTTCATAGGTTGAAATCATTCTTACCATCAAATTTTTCCACTTCAAATTTAGATGTTGACATGGTGTGATTAAGAATCTGACCAGGAATCTTTCTTCACAAATGATGTGTACAGTCAGTTAGGAAGAAGAGGAAAAACAGAAATTTCAGACTTGATGTTCAGCCCTTTTTCAGGTTGTCAAGGTCCGACTCTAATACCAATTGTTAGGGCTGAGGATTTCCTTTAAGTCAGAATTTCAGAGAGCACATTTGCACTAGCAGAATTGGTGTAAAGAAGAAAAACAAATACAAGAAACAAATCAGCAAAACAGAGTTGAAAAACCAGCAGAAAAGAAAATGAAGAACATATTTTTCAANAGTTGGAATAAAGGCTCCAGTTCAACAGATTTTTGATTGATCTAGGTTGCTGAATTCTACCTTAAAGAATCATGTCTTACAGTGTCGATTGGCCGATTTTCTAAAAATCTAAATGGGGAGTCCATTGTGTGCTATGTGAATAGAAATAGTGGATATTGTTTGTAATTTCAGGAGTTTGAGGTTTTTAGTGTACTTCAGTGGTTCTTTGGTGAACTCAAGTTGTAATCTTGGTTTGTTATGGCATCACCAATGCTTGCTCCAAAATGGTGCAAAAAAATATTGCAAACCTCCTCCAACCAACCATGCACCAGAATGGTGCATTGCTATTCCCATTTTGCCCTTCATTACAAATTCTTCTTTCCTTTGCGTCCATTTTTTTTATACAACAAATTTTAATCCCTAATTTATTATTATTATTATTATTATTATTATTATTATTATTATTATTATTATTATTATTTAAACATAATTATTTATTTAGGAAATTTTTACATTCCTTAATGTATTCAATATTTTCGTTAACTAAATGTAACTATTTATTTAGTAATTTATGTAGTAATAAAATAAATAATTAAGCTGAATTTGAGATAAATAAATTGTTATGAACTAACAAATGAAGAAAATGATGAAAAATTGTTTAATTGGTGCAACTTTTGATGTTTTGGATTGGAGATAGTTTTCAATTTGATGCAAGATTTGCACCAAAGTAGTGCAAAATTGACCCCAAATTTTAGTGCAATTGTTGGAGATAACATTAGAATGATTGGTTTATAGTGTTGGGAGTGTTATCCACTTGGTAGAACGCAGAACTCACCATCTAGAGGTGGCAATCGAGTCGAAGTTGGCTCGTAAAAAAGTGGATCGTGAGCCGCTCGGGCTGGTCAAAAGATGAGCCTGAGCTGACTGGCACGTCTGTTCGTTGTTTTGACGAACGGCTCGTGGGCTCGTAAAAAATGTGAGAAAAACACTAAAAAAAATTTTTAAAAATAAAAATAAAAATTTGACGAGCACCTCGTGGGCCGAGCCGAGCTTGACCCTTGAGCATGAGCCGAGCTCAGCTTGTCACTTTGACGAGCCATCGGCTCGACTCATTGCCACCACTATCACCATCTTGGTAGAACTAGGGGCCTATGGGCAAAATTTATTTGTCTTCATCTTTATTTTGTGCACTTTTACTTCTATTATATTTTGGATCATGCTATATGTACCAAATATTTTTATCGAATCTTTTACCTACCACTCACAATGAGGATGTGGACCATATTGTCGAAATTTTTAAATACACGCAAGCCCCGCGCATTATGTGAGAGGTAGTAATCTATTATGTACAAATGGATTAACCCTTATATCTTTGGCTAAATCAATGGGTTTTTGGCTTTTCATTTATACAAATAGTTTTTTGATTTTTGCTTTTTGTTTTTCGCTTTTTCGTTTCTTTTCTTTCTTTTCTTTTTTTGGAAAAGTCACCGTAGCTTGAATGATAATTCTTAGGCTATTAAATTCAAACCTTCATGACGGTTTGGATTTCCCTACCCGTTTTTGTATTCAAATAGTTTTAATACATGAATAATGGATTAGAAATACATAGTTAAAGTACATTATTAACACAAGATAAATTAAATTGATAGTATATAGTATACAATAACAACATTTTTTTTAGTTGAATATTGACTTTACTAGTAGGTTTTGCTTGAATATATAGTATTATAATTTGTTGACCAATTACGTTTTATAATAAGTCAAGCTCGTAGTTTAAGCATAAATTTTATATGTTAACTTGAGAACAAACTCTGAATGAATAATGTATTTCGATTAAGAAAAATCTAAGATTTGCATGCTTCACTCAACCTTTAGTTTGACCATAAAGAGTACTTCAATTAGAGTAACTACATTAATTGTTGCTCTAAATACTACTTCGTATCCCTTGTTGGATGTTTACAGTAATTACATGGATCTTGATGGAGAAGATGTAATGGTTTCATCTTCTACACGTATGAAGTCAAGAGGATGAGGACTTGGATTACTTATGTGTGATTCCTCGGAGTAGAAAAAATAAATAAATTATTTTGTAAAAATAGAGTCAAACTATTTCATCCCCAAGCCAATTATCTTTAACCATGGGCCCAGTAGGTCCCTCCTCCCCCAGCATCTCCTTAGGAAGACTCATCACAAATTTTAAAAATTTAGTCTTTAATTTCCCCTGCAAAAACAACGCAATCAGCTTGAGTTCATCCTCAATTTCGTAGGTTATATGTGGACCCCATTCTCTTGTATAATTGAGCCATGGTGGATCTTCATAGACAGACCCCATATAATCTGCATTCACCACTAAAAACTTTGCTCCGGTGTCCATGGAAAAAATCCCCTTCCCAGAATCATCTCTTATGCCAAAGTTCCCTTTCCCTAGTAGAACAAGGCCGGGTTTTGGATACGCGGCATGGCCATGTAACGATGAATAGACCACGGGTTTGTTACCATTTTCGAACTCCAATTCTGAAACATCAACCCATACTCCTTTACTATGTTGAGAAAAAAAGACACCCTTAAGCTCCCCCATTGAAATTGCTGATTCTTAAGGTCACGTGTTCCCAATCACCAACATGTTCTCCGATTTTCCCCAAGTGAACATTGAAGAATCCGACTTTCGCCTTGCTAGGACCATTGAAAGGGTAAAATATCCATATTGCTATGTCTGTAAATGTTGCACCAAGCATGGGTTTAACATGTACATAAGCATAGGCATCTTGTAGATCTCCTTGCTTGACTATCTTTTTTTCTTCCTTATTCATAGGAAGGTCTATCCAATAGGCACCATCATTTTCACCCCCCTGAGGAAGGTTTGAGCCCGTGTTGTTGATGAATGTTGGATTCCATTCTTGACCTTTTGTACACAGTAGTGACCTTTCGAAAAAACCAAGTCACTGAGGAAGGAAAGTAGTTTTCATCAGGATGAAAATAGATATAAGGAGAGTAAGCTTGAATCAATGCCTCAATCTGATCTGAATTAGGCAAAGCATTTTTATTGGCATTTGCATTCTTCAAACATGCCAGAGTTGATCCAGCAGCCCCATTGTTTTGGGCTATAAATGTTCCTGTAGAAATCCCCATGGCTTGAGTTCCTCTAACTGATGGTCTTGTGCTATAAACATTGATATTATTTGCATTAATATCATTGTCTGGCCCCCAAATCCAATCATCACTTTCATAGGAATCTGTGAAATCAGAGCGAACGCATCGGATTTTGTCGATGACCGGCTTCTCAGGAGAACTCGTGACAACGTGTCCGATGGCTTTGTAGCCATCAGGAGGTGTTGGAAGCCAGATATAGCCAACACCATCTTGATTAATGTTCAAAGATTCACTACTCCAAACAAGAGTGTAGTCAACTGGTTCCTTCAAGAGACCTTCATTTTTGGCATCTTTTGCTGCAAGAACCCATCCAGATAAAGGCCTGTTGTTGGCTTGGCTATAGAATCCTAGCAAAAAGAATTCATCTGGTATAGAATGTGGTTCAAAAAATGTTGCACCAAGATTATCCGGTCCGCCTTCTTTTGTAGCCCACACCTCAGCGAATGTCGATACTTGACACAATTGTAATCCTCCTAGATCAATTATTCCACTTGCAAAACCTTCACCTAAATCCAAAAGAAAATAAACTCGAATTTAACAATGTTCGCGTTAAATAAATAAGGCGAAAAATGTGTAATGTTGTACCTTGAGGCCAGGAAGGGAGTGGAGAAGGAAGCTTGAACTGGGTTTCAATTGGAAGAGGCTAGTTTTTCTTCTTGTGAGAAGAAACATTGATCTGATTCCCCATAGTTTTGCCCTTCAAGCAACAATATTTTGATCAACAATCTACTTTTGAATATGAATAAAGAGATGGAATGAGACTAACAGTCAAGGAATTTTGTACATTTCTATAATTAAATCGTACTTGTTTTTCTATTCTTTAAGAAAATCTTTTCCAGTTTCGAGGAGTTGGACTGTTGGAGAGAACTTATCTTCTCCAGTTTTATAATCTTTTAGTGGAGCTACGAATGGAAGGCACCTCACCATCCACTTAGCATATTAAGAGAATACGTTAGATTGCTTGGCCCTTACAATGGAGGTCGTGTAGTAGCCATATGCACTCTAATTTCAAGAACATGCTTCTAATACTAATTGATTTTGTTGATTATTTTGAGTATTTTCTTACATTTGCAAAATCTTTTATAATGCCGTTTTACACTTAAATTTACCAGTTAAAAATGATTCTGTTCCAACAGTATAAACATAGATACAGACAGACATGGATGATTCTTGCATAAAACACATGCGAACATGCACGCGAAAATAAAGGGCACGTAGACAGACCTCGACGAACTTACGACAAGGCCGCTCGTTTGTACGAGTCCAATTCCTCTTGACATCAAGATTCGCCATGCTCGGTTGGGCCGCAGTGCCACATAGAGGCACCATTAACAGAAACACAAAGAAAAGAAATACCTTCACCTTCATTTTTTTGACACTACTGAAGTGAAAGGCTATATAGCTTTAAAGAATTTATATTTTTAATGCAGTGTTTGCTCAACCATGAGTTAAAATTTTGAACACTTTTCGCTCACTAGTTTGCATATTTATATGCATAATGGAACACAATTAAAAGGGTCATAAGTGAACAAATCTTTTGATATGGGATTCTGAATTTAAAAGGATCCAAGACTGTCTGCCGATGATTTGCTGTTTACTATGTGAGTGTGAGGAGCTTAAAAGGGCAGATTTGGAAAGATCAATGTCATACTTTCATACTTCAATAGTTCAATTCGTAATTTTTTTTCTGATACGTTTTGCAAATTTTTTTAGTTGTACAGTATATATATAGTTTTAATAATTGTAGTATAATTTGGAATTGATAGGTCAGTGATTCATAATTGATAATTGCATGTATCAATTTTGTGACTTTCGAGTGGCATGGTGAAAATTGATTTTCTTTCCGACTTTGGTTTGGTGAATTTATCAGAAAAACGATTTTTTTTTAAAAAAATTCGGTAGGGTGAATTTATCATTATATATGTTTATTTAATATAATTTTTGTTGGATGTATAATTGATATGGGTTTGGTGGGGTGGGGGTGGTTGTGGGGGATTTATAATTTCGTGATTAGTATAAGAGTGTCAATTTGGCTAGTTGATTCGAGTGACCCGAGAAAGTTCAAGCTGGTTTGGCTTGGCTCGCTACTGGGCTCGGGCCGAGCACCATTTTGGAGCAACGACCCAAGCTCGAGCCAGCTCATGTGGCTTGACAAGCCATCTGGGCCGGCTATATATATATATATACAGGCAACGGTAGCATCAGCAGCAATAGCTGCCTGCAATCGAGCAGCCACACAGAGGCAGCGTAATAAGGCTCGAGCCTAGATTTTTTGGTCGAGCAAAAGCTCGATTCGGGTTTAAAAAAAAATCTAGGCATTGACATCCCTAGATTAGTATGCAAATTGAAACCCGTTGAATATTTTGAAAATACAAAAATGAAACAAAAAGACGTCAATTTAGAAAGATAAAAGAAATATTTCAAAAGATCAATGAATATTAGAAGCTATAATTGAAAATAGCATTCCATGATGTCCAAGGATCATGAACTGATAAATTCTATGACAATCAATAATATAGCCTTGTGAAAAGCTTCAGAATATGGACATCATGCTATATACCTTTTCATTTTGTGATGTCCCGTCGTGAAATCTTTTCATAACATTCCATTCGGCAACATTACCAATCATAGTGGGAAGTCTTCCATGACATTTCTTTGGATGAATCATCCTACACGAACATAGTGGATGATCAAATACACACACTTTGGGGGTCGAACATTATTTTATTCACTTGGAATCCACGCGCAATGTGAGGGTCGGTCACCCATTCGGTCATCCATTTTCTGGCACTTCAGCATAAGTCTCTTTGGATAGTGTGAAAGTCCGAAGTAAGCATTTATATTATTTTACTTACTTTTGGTCTTTTTTTTTATTTTTTCATGTATTTGATGAGATCCACAAACACTATCTAACTTATCAATTATGCTACTTGTACAAAGGTAGTTTACAAAAGTGTGTTGACGTGGCAAAATTTAGGTCATTGATTTCAAAAACTGTTTTTTAAATTATTGGCCAAGACGTTTCCAACACATATTTTGTAAACCAATTTTGTAACCTAACTTTATACAAGTAGCATGACTCAGTAGACTCTTGCACCAGTGACTGATCACTCGACATTGTTCCAAGTGATAGAACTTGGTTGATCTTTCTCGATGGGTTTACAAATATTGGAATTATGGTTAAGTGGTGATTAATCTCATCAGGTCGATCTTTAATTACTTATTTACTTAAAAGTTTAGGTTGAAATCTGTCTTGCTAAACTAATAGTTCCCCACTTTAATTATTATTCATTTGAGATAAAAAGCTACCTCATGGAGTTGTTTCACATAATTTATGAATAATGACAAAAAACATATCGATGGATGCTAAAATCCACTAATCCATATGCATACATTTTCAATATAGTCCAAATATAGATTATCCTAATCTTCATAAATTATTTCTTCCTCATCCGCGAGGTCTCCCCATCTATTAGTGATCCGAGTACGTCGATTATTATGACCAGGACAAATATCGCACAAGACGTATGGACACTAGATCTATAACGACTAGATTAGCGATATGCTGTCATAAATTTCATTGATTTACTTACTATGTTTCATTGTGCTTCACATCTTCGAATAAGATTATTTATGGATAATTATATCACCGTCACAAATTTTACGCATGATAACACGTTATACTCACATCATAATTAAAATATATTTTTAATAAATACAGCATAAGAAATTTACAATTATAATCCCAATCCAATAAAAACTAAAAAGGATAATTATATTGCGGCCACAAATATTATTTCTTACACCACTTCTAGGCACGCCGTAAGTAAAATATACTTTTCATAAACACACCAAAACAATTTTATAATTATAACCCTAACTCGATTAAAAAAAAAAAGTGGTTTAAATTTCACTTCTGAACACAATTTCATTACACACCAAAACAGCATATTTCCCTTCTGAACAGAATTTAGATTTAGAGAAACCCATCGTTTCAACAATTGCCAATCTTAAGCCCAATTATCATATTGAAAAAGATCTTTAGTTATTGATAATAAGGTCTTTAATAAGATGCATAATTGGGACATGACTACAAAACATTATTCTTCTTCCCACCATATGCGTCAGGTACACAAAATTAAGAACATAATTATAAAACCAACCAAAAAGCATGACAAGAATATGTGTTATATACTCGGAACCAGAAAAGTTTAAGCCAAACAATGGTGGAAAATGGAAACTGTTGTTAAAATCCAAAAGAATTCTTTGGTTTCGGATTCAGAAAAACCATCAAATGAATACCACTCGACCTCAGCTCGACTCACACCCTTCCTTCACTTGATTGCCTCAAGTTTTCTCACCCACAAAGGATCACGGTGGTGGTGATGATTGCAATATCTCAAAGGGAGGAAGAAAGCAAAGGAAACAATGTATGAATCTCCCAAGAACTTTGTGATAGCCCAAGAATAGCTAACCAAGATGGAGGTGAATTGGTTTTTAAAACTTTTTCGAAAAATTAATCTAAAATCAAACACGTAATAACTAGATAGATTAATTCAAATAATAAGCATGAATATGAAAGCAATAAGTAAAGAGGGATAGAAAATGCAAACGATATAATTATAGAGGTTCGATCCAACGCAATAATCGACGTCCTCCGTTACCAAGCTCTCTGTCACGAGTAAGACCAATTTCAGTATGTTAATTGACTTGTGGTACAATCCAACCATTTACAAAGCTTTCAGTGACTTACAAACAAGGAGCACCGATCCTTATACAACGTTGAGATTTATGGGATCTCAACACGACCCACAAGTTTAAAGAAAATTGATTTTACAAATTGAAACTTCTCTCTTAATAAATGATATGATCACAATTAAGTACCAAGAGAAAAATAGGCTAACACTTTAATAAATAACAATGAATGAAACTGAAGTGTTAGGTATAAAAAATTTTGATGTGTAGAATGATTTTCATAAGTTAATTTGAACAAAAGTTTTTTAAAACTAAAATGATTTGATAATAATAAATGATATGAGAAATCAATACAATTTTTACCCACAAGTTTAAAGAAAATTGATTTTATAAATTGAAACTTCTCTCTTAATAAATGGTATGATCATAATTAAGTACCAAGAGAGAAATATGTTAACACTTTAATAAATAGCAATGAATGAAACTCAAGTGTTAGATAAGAGAACTTTAATGAAAAAAATGATTTTCAAAAGTTGATTCAATCAATCTAAAGTTTTCAAAGAAAATATTTGAAAAATTAAAAAGATATAAGCTGAAAGAGTTTTGCTCAAGTAATTCTCAATTTTATACTTTTCAAGAATGTTTTTTGAATGCAAGAAGTAGATGTATTTATATAGTTCAAACCGTTAAGAAAATCTGGGAGTTCGGATGACCACGTTCGGTTTACCACCTCTTGTCCGGATGACCAACATAGCTGTTTGTACAGAAAAATCAGAGGTAAGAACGTTCAAATTTTGGACTGTTGGGAATTATCGGGCCAATCGACCGTCAGACAGTTTGGTTTTTTCCACGTTTTGCCTCCATTTGTTTCGATTTGAAGGTTTTGAAAAACATGAACTTTGGAAGAGTATTTTTAACTAGCTTTTCAAGATAAAAAGTGTTTTACAAGTCCAACTATCATTTTTTTAAATCATTTTTATATTTGATCAAATCATTGTGTAAGAATGACTTTTAATGCACAAAATTGTTTTTAATACATGTAGGGGTTTTGAGCTTAAGCATTCATTGTCATATAAGTGTTAGTACATTTTAGCTAAGAGATCAAGTATTTGATCTTGCTCCGTAATTTGGCTCTTAAGATCTTGAACGTGACTTCGATCTTCACTTACTTCATGAGTCTGATTTGTGATGATAGCTTTTGATTTTTTGACAACCATTGATCAAATTTTCATCGTATGCGTTGAAAGACTATGATCACTTAAATTCAACTTGTTAGTAAACAAGACTTGTTTGTTATTATAAAAACTTTGAGGTTTTAAATCAACCATAGGTCAACACTCTGCCCAATTGGTTGCCTCTCTCTCTCTCTCTCTCTCTCTCTCTCCCCTCTATTGCATTCCTTCACCCACAAACTCACGGCTGGAACCAAAATGAAAAAATAGCCAAGTGATTAGGTTATCATCAAATTGGGTCATTTCACTCTCCTCTCCAATGGGCCTAAACCCCAAACTAATCGAAGCCCCCCAAATTACCAAGATGAATGGGCTACCAACAAACAAAGCCAATGCTAAGTAAACTTGGACCAAGTGCTGGTTTATTTCGGGTGGAGCCAAGTATATGGTGTCAATAAATTATCCGACATTCGTTTTAAATTATCGCTAGGATTTATTGGG